TGTTTATTGTGCTGAGCATTCTGATGAAAAAAAGAAATTTTATTGCCAAAGTTGCGAGAAAATGGTCTGTCGTGATTGCATTCTTCTTAACCATCAAGGCCACCAGTACAAAGGATATAATGAAGAATGTGAAACAGCACGTAAAGCATTAAAGAAAAGTGTTGCTAGTTGTGATGGAGTCATTCCTCCAGTCACTGAAGCTATTGCTAATGGAGAGAAGATGCTAGAGCAGATAGCAACACGTAAAGAAGAAGTAAGGCAGGAAATCAAGGAAACATTTGAAGAGCTTAAAGCTGCTTTAGATAAGAGATGCAATGATCTACTAATGGAGACAGAAGAGATTGCTAGGGCTAAGAAGAACTCTGTCAAGAAGCAGTTAGACGGGTTTCATAAACTGGTAAAACAGGTTTCTCATGGTCGTCATCTTGCATCATCAGTGAGTGAGCGTACTGATCCAGGTGAAGTTCTGAGTGTTAAGAAGCTAATCACCAATCAACTAGAGGAATGCATTCAAGACTATAAGAAACTACCTCTAGAAATAGAAGAAAATGAAGTGATTTTAACACGCCTAGATACGTCTTCTTTAAGTAAAGAAATCAATGAGTTTGGAAGTGTCTCTGAGGTAGATATAGATGCATACTCCATTGATAGTGGGTTAGCTATTGCATTGGCAACAGTAAAGAAAGAAAGGAAATTCAAAGTGTCTCTACCAGCAGGCATTGATAAAGCAGCAAGCTATTTGAAGGGTTCCTTTATCAAAAGTGATGGCAGTAAAGAGGAAGGTAGAGTTGTTATAGTTAATGATAACAACACAGCCATTGTATCATGCACACCTCAAAGTATTGGTGGATATGAACTATCAGTGACTATAAGAGGCCACCATATTAAAGGTAGTCCTTATCAACTGTCAGTAAAAGCATCAAGAGACTATACCACACTAACTAACCAGAGATCCTTTAATGTGGGGAATGGTACTTATGGTGTTGCTGTTCATACTAATGGTGAAGTATTTGCTAGTAGCCATGATGATGGGTTTGTTCAGGTATTTAGTGAGGATGATACTGCAGTAAGAAGGATTGGATCTAAAGGTAATGGCAATGGGCAGTTTGACTATCCTTGGGGTTTATTACTGGTAGGAGACAGACTCTATGTGTCTGATAATACTCTTCATCGTGTGCAGTATTTCTCAGCTACTACTGGTCAGTATATTGGTCAGTTTGGTAGTAATGGTAATGGAAATGAAGAATTCTCTAGTCCTGAAGGTATGTCTACTGATGGTAAAGGTAATATATTAGTAGCTGATTTGAGCAACAGTAGAGTACAAGTGTTTAAAGAAGATGGTACATTTGTACAAGTCATACAATGTGATGGTACTGCATCTGATGTAGCAGTTGATAATGAAGGAAAGATACATGTTACCATTCATAATCAACATCATGTTCAAGTCTTCTCTCCTGATGGTAAAACTCATCTTGATACATACAATAATCCAGTTGGTAACTTTAATGATCCCAATGGTATTGCTATTGATGATGAAGGATACATCTTTGTATCAAGTAGCAATGGCTATCTTCATGTGTTGAGCCCTGACAGAAAACAAGTCAAATTAATCTCAGGATTATCTGATCCATTAGGTATAGCACTAGATAAGGATGGATATATTTATCTTGCTGATTACAACAACAAATGTATAACGAAATATTAAAGTAGCAGTTCATAAACTAAATATACTATTTACAATTTATGGTATGAAATGGTATTTTCTATCTCTCACACTCACTTCTCCTCTGTCTCCTTTTCTAACTTTAAGTCACATTAGTCACTGTTAATTATAATTATTGTTTGAATTTAAACTAGTTGTTTCTAAATAATCATGTAAATATGCCACTGCTAATGGCTGACGTCTTGACACAATATAACCAGTGTTGCTGGTACTCCTCCCATATCAACCTATTCAATGTACATCATGTTTGACTCCACCCACAACCACACCCCTTGCACAAGGTACGTGACTTGTGTGAGTAGTTTTTCTTTATAGCGATAAGGTTCGATGACCCACCCACTAGTCATGACCTAGTAAAACTTTGTATATTCTAGTAATCTCATTACATCTCTCTAACCTTTCCTCTGTGCAGTTTCACATTATATAATACAAGTTCCTCATCACAAATGATTTTACAATCTAAACCAAATTAATACAAATACATTAATTATTATAGTACAGTATTATACCTGTGCAAACAGTTCTTCATTGAAGAGCACATTTTGAGCTGATTTAAGTATCTGCTCCCATGGAGCTAACATCAACTGTTGCTTATGAAGCTCAATGAAACAAGATGGCAACAAAGAATCAAGAGAAACAACCTCTGGAACAAAAACCACATCAACATGTACACATAGATGACATGTACAATCATGTGATAGTCATGTGACATACCATTACCTTTAATAGGTCTGTCTGCTAGGAATATAACTACTTCACTCCTTCCTCTTAATTCTTGAGGTACCACTACTGACAGTATACCATTAGTACCTTCAATTCCTTTATGAACCTCAAACTGAACTGACTGAGCATATATTGAACCAGCTGCAATAAATAATGATAGTACCGATTTGAGAAAATTCTTCATTTGTATATTTTTCAGAGACTTATATGTTCTTATGTTGTGCAGCAAGTTTGAGCTGATTCCGATAAAAATTAGATTATTTAAACAAATTTAAAA